CAGGTAAAAAGGCAGACAGATAAACAGACAAAAGTAGGCAGGAGAGCATTCGTAAAAATTTTTCACCTTCTATTCTTACTTTAACCTTCAAACGACCCTGAACATGAGGTGATAGAGGTCAACCGACATCGGATTCAGACTCAGCGACCTAAAAAAACCTAGGTTTACATTTTTTCAGATTTTTTCAACCACCTTTTCTTAGTTTGACCTTCAAATGACCTTGAACCTGACGTTATAGAGCTTAACCGACCTCGGCATCGGAATCAGCGACCCCAAAAACCCCTGGGTACCTAGGTAGAGTCAAACTAAATGTTGACCTGTGTATTTTCCTCAGTATTTTCATTTTTGCTGCAAAATATAGTACTATCTTCACTCGTGGCACTGTTACACTGAAAAAAAGTATTACTTTACACACTTGCATAAATAAATTTATATAAAAGACGTTTGGTGTATGTATTTAGACATTTTAGTTGGCAAGAACGCCCTGTATCTAGGAAAAAAAAGATTCCTTCCTTTTATAATATTTACAATCTACATAATAATCCAATAGTTCCAAAACCATTATAAGCTTCCTCAATTAGAAAAAAATAAACAGCACTTCTATTTTTCTTCATAAATAGCATCTAAAAGCAATGATCTCGTCACACACATATATTTGTAAACCAATATGCACATTATTACAAATAAATATATTAATACACTTTCGCTGAAGATTTTCAAAATTTTCCAGATATATAACTTCCCGCAGCTATGGCAGTCCCAAAATTGGTCAAGTCAAAGGTGTTCACTTGTTTACAGAAATGCAAGTGAAAAGTATGTCAAAAGACAGCTGGTTAATTAGCAGGTAGGTGCTGATAAATGGGGACACTGATGGCTTTGTATAAATAGCTTTAGGCTGTTTGACAACTAGATGAAATGTTGGTTTATTTTTTAAAGTAATATGGTCGTTTTATATTTTTCTTGCAAAAGATTTGCTTCGATGTAATTGTAATTGTAATGAAAAAATTGTCTTTGTAATACATAAAGTCGTACCGAGTTAAAATTACATGTGATTTCATTAAAACCAGGAATTTTTGGCAAGGACTTTGGAGGGGGATAATCATTTACAGCTTCCTACGATATTTCTGAAATGACGTAACACCGCTTGAATCAGGAAATCTTATGCGAAATTAAACAGTAATTTAATACTTAATTCTAACACTTTTAATGTTCGATAGAAAAATAATTACATTCTACAGCAGATACGTTGTTTTTTATATATTTTTTTTTCTACCCTAAATATTTAAAATATTTTCAAATAATTTAATTTCTTTCGGTGTGGCAAAATACCCACTTAAATAAAAGAGTGTACTAACAATGCCTGTAAATAATTGCAGACAATATCAGGTATTCTTGTTGGTGTAGTATTGAGAACCTCATTCGACTTGGTTGGCGATATATGAAAACACTCGCAGCAGAAAGAATTTCCTTTCACTTATCGCCTCTGGCTTCAGTAAATTATTTGAACGACTGATACCATATTTCAGGCTTTACAGAGTGATCAAGTGTGCTTATTCTGTAAATGGGGACACGCCTCGACTACTTTTATGTGCGTGTTGAATTAATAATATCGCCTCTGTAGTCAATAATAGCACGGAGGTATTTTAAAAAATGTTGGATAACCTTCTGTTCTGCTTATAGCGAATAGGACATTTTATTTCGCAGGTAAAGTACATTCACAGTGAACCATTTATTTCTGGATATCCTGCACATTACAAAGAAGAAACATGGATTTTGGGAATCGATTACATTTTTCTCAAAAAGAGTACCTATTTATGTAAAATGAATTTTTATATTGTAATGTACTGTAAAAAACCTTACTTCAAAAAAGTTGTGTTTATAAAATGAGATTGTGGTCAAAAACTAGATGGTCAAAATCTTGATATTTGTTTTTTTAAGATATGGCTAAAATTGGATTTAAAAAATCATATTTGATGCCCTATATCTAAAAAACGAATAGACATGGTCCATAGGAAATTATTGGTCGTAGCTAGCTAGTAGATAGTCAAACACTAACTTGATGTTTTACATCCCCAAAACTTAGCTATATTAAAATTACAATGTTTTTTTTAAAGATATGGCTAAAATTGGATTTAAAAATCATATTTGACGCTCTGTATCTCAAAAACGAATAAGCACTTGGTCCATAGGATATTATTGGTCGTAGCTAGCTAGTAGATGATCAAAAACTCTCCAGAAACTTACCTCTACTAAATTTCAACGCATTCCAATGATTTTTTTAAAGATATGGATAAAATTGGATTTAAAAATCATATTTGACGCTCTATATCTCAAAAACGAATAGGCACTTGGTCCATAGGATATTACTGGTCGTAGCTGACTACTAGGTGGTCAAAAACTTGATATTTAACATCGTTAAAAACTGACTTCTACTAAATTTCAACGCATTACAACGTTTTTTTTAAGATATGGATAGAATTGGATTTAAAAGTCATATTTGACGCTCTATATCGCAAAAACGAATAGGCACTTGGTCCATGGGAAATTATTGGTCGTAGCTAACTACTAAGTGATCAAAAGCTTGATATATGACATCCCCAAAAAGTTACCTTTACTAAATGTTAACGCATTACATGCTTTTTTAAAGATATGGCTAAAATTGGATTTAAAAATCATATTTGACGGTCTATATCTCACTTACTTTATCATTACGTACAATCTGCTTTATAAACATAGTCACATTTAATAAGTAGCGTTTGGTTGTGTTTTAATTAATATCAATTCACTTTGGATGTATAAATCACTGTCTAATTTTTTTTAATCGCATTTCAGTGTTGGTTCCTATAACGACCTTGATAAAAATGTTCCGAATACAATCAAACTCTGCGAAAGTCATATAACAATATAACCAAATTGTATAAAATTAATGAACAAGTCGCCCATGACATTTCGCTTAAACTACACTTGTAGTACAAAATCCGCATCATTTAAAAATCAGGCGACAAGCTATTTATTTGGTCATGTTGAAAATATCTGCAACACGAGCTAATAAAAATGTTCTAGTAGTAAACAAAAATCAGTACTATTTTTCGAAAAACGCCCTAAGTGGATAAATCTAGACAAGGCTAGCGAATCACCCTGTATCTTAACTTTGTCGATCGCTAATTTGATTTCCAACATCGTTCTGAGGTAATTCTGTACAATTTAAATTAAATAGTCAGAAATACCAAGACATTACATTATATGTTTAGTTTTTGTTTGTATTCAAATAATAGAATTATTTCCTCAAGAGGTAAGTTTTGAAATTGGGAATATTTCTTACTTTGCAACTTATTCTAATTTTACTTTAATTAATAATAACTACAATTATTTCTTTAGCACTTGTTTAATAGTATATTTACAGGGTCTAGTTAATATGTTCACAGTTTCTGGACACCGTGTAAATCTTGTGTGTTCGTATTTATTGCTTATCTTTCGAGGTACGTTGATAGGCGTGATCGGATCGAACATATTTATAAAGATTAGAGTCGCGAGGATAGTCTTTATGTGGTGCTTATATTTAAAATAAAAGAAACACTGATACAAGTAGCCTTAAATATGATTAATGAAATCTCAACCCTGCCTCTAGATAGATGAGTGATTTATAGTTATGTTACTTTAACTCATCTGCATGTCATGTGAAACGTACGTATTATAAATTAAATTTTATGTGGCAACGATCGGAAACTCCTATGGCTATACCCAAGGAAATAAGACAAAGGCTGCTGAGCTAAGAAAATAAATTATTCTACATTTTGTCGCGCGAAAATGGTTTGTTTTTCAAATAAAACGAAATATATCTTTTCTTGGAAACACTACAAAAACAAAGTGTAAAGATTTTAATTACATGAGTCATTAGCTCAAGTTTCATCATTTTACATCAAACGACGAGCGATATTTTAGGACAGGCGATTTTTTTAAACAATTTGAAGACGTGTTTAACGACTGAACATTAGACCATCTAGTATGTACTTATTTACCAAACTTTCCCCAGACAATCTACAGCATAAACATAGCCTAAAATTTCCGTTAATCCAGAAGGAAATACGTAATTATAACGTACCCACCGGACAATCAGACTATTGCAACGCGTAAAAGATGCGAAAGAAACCAACGAACCTCCACGGACATTAGTAATAAGCTATTTATAGTATCAGGTAAAACGGGGTCTTCCAACGATAACCCAAAGCACGTATGCGTCGACCTCTGATGCTCTAAAAGATAGTGTATAAGAAAAATCACACCCATGATATTTTTTAATGAATTTTACATGAGGCTGTACATAAATTGTATCATAAAAGTCATAGAAACTCCACGAATCACAGGCGCCGGCTACTGCTAGAATACTTAAACTGATTAAGACTTGGGGAAGCACATAAAACAGACACAATCACGGTTCCTAGAATAAAACTGGAGGAAATAAATTAGCAAATGGAATATATGTTGCAGAGGACAAACGATGTAACAGGAGATGCGGAATCACCTTCGGAAAATTTATATTCCATTGTAACGAATGGCTGCAAAATTGAAAATGATGCAGTTGTTCAAGAAATGAGATCAATACGTTTTTTCCTAATGCAGGCTTTGGAATTAGGAAGAATTTAAGAAGTTTCCACTAACTAGTGAATGAGATAATCTTTTTTATAGAATTTCCAACCAAATCTTCTGTATCTCTTGACCTCCTTTCCTTACAGTTTACGAACTTGAAAATGATTATGAATATCGTCAGATCATTGAAAATAAGTATAATTTACACGAAGAAAAAGCATCCTGTTCTGTTTAAGTCAACGCTGTTTTACGTTTTACGTCTGAAAGTACCACGACAACTTACTTTTCCAGAATAGATGAAATGGAAAGATTACTAAAACTTCCTGATCTACACTAATTGAAATTCTTTTAAAAGTTTTTTTTAAATTAAATTTTCTTCAAAATGACATATTACAGTAGAAACTGGTACTTACCGGAAACCATCAAATCCGTCATCAGAATCATTGACCGTCAGAACTGGGGCTCGCGCGTAGGCCTTTGCCACCCTTCTGTTTCTTTCCAGAACGATTACTTTCGCCCATATTTCATCGTCGATTTGCGTCCACTTTTCCAACACTTCCTGTATGTGATCCTGCAAAAAAATATCCCGTTAAATATCGGCCGAATATTCTGTAGGTGTAGGATTCTGTTGTCTATATTAATAAAACCACATAACAGTATACATAATATATGTACATGATTACGTATGTAGGTTAGTCGCTATGTAATTTTTTCATAAATAACAACAAATAAATTATTACGCATATGTTTCTCATATAGAAATAATTCGTTGTTATTTTTAATAATATTTCTAACGACAGATAAAGGAAGATTGATGGATTTTTAAATGGAAACGATTATAATACAGTTTTATAGTCATTATTTTGTAATAATAACTAGATGAATGCAATGGAATCTATTCCAAATACTACCCACATCTCACATTCCTGCACCAGTTATTAGAGCATATCGACATAATTGTTGCTTGACACTGATGAAATGAGTTATGAAAGATAACCCATGTTTTCTTCCATGATGAACGGTATTTAGATTACAGCATGATTCGTCAGACTTATTGCAAACTTTAGCAATAGAAAATAGTCACAATTTATAGAAAAAGATGTTATATAAACATAGTGCTTTGAAAGCTAAGTTAAAATATATTTTAAACAAAAAATAAACTGTGTATGGACAGTGTAATGGAATTTAAGGGCGACATTTTAATCCAACATAAGTTTATAATTTCCTGTTATACAGGGTGTTACAAATAAATAGATCAAAAGTTTTCTACCAATGACTCGATACGGATTGGACAAATAATGAAATATTTCTCCACTTTATGAAATATGTTTTACGTCATACTAAACCCTCATCTTTTAATTATGAACAATCACGAATCTCATCTCTTTTTAGGTGTCATTAAAATTGTTCGGCAAAATAACGCAATTTTGTCAGCGCTGCCTCCTCATACTAGCCATAAATTACACCCTCTAGATAAAAGTGTTTATGGGCTTCTCAAGAGATATTATAATAATTCTTGTCAGTCATGGCTGGTAAATCATGCTGGACAACGGATAACCATTTACGATATAGCCGAAATAATTGGAGAAGCTGTCCTGGCGCATTCACTCCAAAAAACTGCATATCTGGAACTTCAAAAGTTACTGACTTACGGAATGAAGACAGGCAATTGTTCGAGTATAGAAAAAGACAGACTCTAATAAAATTTATGCCGTTGATAGTTCCGAACCCGATCGAAGTAAACAACAAATAAGTTTTATTCAAAATAGTCTAATTCCATCTGATCGCGAAAGTGGTGCAAAATTCAGTCCTAAAAAAGTGTGTTTCCCCTGAAATCCTTAAATCTTATCCAAACGTTGTTTCAATAGAAAAATAAAATAAAATTCGCATACGAAGGATTAGAAGAGGAAGGAGGAGCAAAAAGATCACGAAGAATAGCGTTAACGTGGATGTAAAGCGTAAAATTGAAGTTTCGCCAATTGTAACAAGTTCATCCGATAACGAACAATCATCAAATTTAACTGATTTAGGTGACGTTGATTTTGAAGATGAATCAAATCTGATAAATGATGTGGTTAAAGACTTAAATGAAATCAACATCGGTTCATCGGTTTAATATCTTAAAAAACGGAGTTATTAATAAAAATACTTTTTCATTGGGATTTTAACATCCTGTATCTGTAAAATCCCATATTTTTCGCACAAAGAATATTCGAGCAAGATAAAATTGGAAAAAATAACTATCGCTGTTATAAAACATGCAGGATCAAATAAATAAAATGTTTCTCGTTATTGCCTGTTAGTTTATTATTAATTAAAAGTAAAGCTGATATAACGATCCTGCAGCTTTGTGCCTCTGTATATTAAACAGGAATTATTGTTATGACACAGGAGCGCAGAGTAACAATAAAAAAGAGAAAGTAGGCATATTAAAACAGAAGGTTAATACAGTAAATTTGAAAAGTAAGTGCCATTCTCCGTCTCTTTTCTTGAAGCGGATTAGATCCGTTCCGACTTAGTTTGTACGCAGTACGCAGTCACGTTCGGAGTATCGTTTCTAGGAATGAACAGTTATGTGCAAATTCAATGAACTATGTAATTCATGAATACGTGCAGAAGTAAATAAAATAAATCATCGGCATTTAAAAAAGAGGAACATGCATCTTTTATCGTTGTTGTTGAAAGGAACCTTAAGGCAAATGCCCTACAAATCATTGTGAATAATCGTTCTCCTTGCCTGGAGGTTCTCAGAAACGGTTTATTTTTATTTTCGTATACCTTAAAAAGTCGTTGTTCGATTAAAAATGCATGATTAAAAGCTGCATTAATCATTATATCTGTATGCTTTGTCTCAGCTCAGGGCAGTATCAAGTTCAACGTGATAAATTTTCCCTTGTAAGATTAAACTTTTCTTCAATCAGTGAGTCGACTATTTCGCTGTAATTGAACATCACATATAAACTAATCTCATTACTTTAGCTCGCTTCTTCACAATTATTAAACGCATATTGTATACAGTAAATTAACTTCTGAATTAATATCTTTTTTCGTATTACGAGGGAGCTATTTTTAGATACCGTTTAACGCTCGATCAGTTATTATCTAAAGCGGAGTCCATCCTAAGCTCTCATAAACGCGATGACTAAGGACGGGCTGATATTGCTTCACCGAAGGATACTGTCGAATATCCAGCGTAGAAATACCAAGTGACTAATTTGGAATGTAGGAATTATGTCCGGAATAGTTTTAAAATGGGTATTCCTTCCTTCCATTCATGATTAATGACGTTTCGCACACTTGAAGACTATTACACAGCTCTTTGATCTTTTCAGAATCAGTGACGAACTCTACAATTTCGGAAAGGACGGAACACCCCCTTTTCAACTAGGCCATGGCCAACTATGAGTTATTATATTTATGAAATTGTAATATTCGTAATTTATTAATATAATAACAATAAATAGAATTAGGTTAGATTAGAGTTTTCTGTTCAAAGAAAAACTATATCGTGATTACAGGATGCAAAAGTTAAACAGTTTCGTGAAAAGTATGACAAATAGAAAGGCTACAAATTCCGGAATCACACAGGCAATATACCATTTGTTACAATACAAAACATATTTCTATAAAATCTATGTCGATCATAAAATTAAGAATAGAATTCGTTTAACCGTAAGTATCAAATATTTATTTTAAATGCTGCCTATTTTTAAAGTAACAAATTATATTTCTGGGTAGAAATTTAAAGTATGTATTTAAATAAATAAATAATTTTCTTGAAGGAAGAAAATATTTTCTTGCTTATAAAGTGCGATACCTTAAAATCAAATGTTGTACATTTGAAGCAAGAATTTTTTTTTGGGTGTATAGAATTTAGTTGTTTTATAATCATGTCATCAATACGATCATAACGTTTTCTTGGCATATTTTAATAATATTTGTTGTTCTTGGTTCTTGTTTCTATCGCGGTTGTTCTTAGTAGTAGTAGTAGCAGTAATAGTTGTAGTTGTTACCGCTGCTGTTGTTGTCGTTGTTATTGATGCTATTAATCTACAACAGCAACAGTAACAGCTACAACCACAACAACAACAACAACAACAACAGCAGCAGCAGGAGGAACAACGACAGCAATAACATGTACAACAGCAGCAGTAACAGTAACAACTAAAGCAAAAGCAGACTTTTTTAATCTATAATAAGAGTATTCCTTACTAAGTATCAACAACAACAACAACAACAACAACAACAACACCAGCAGCAGGAAAAGCGGCAGCAATAATATCTACAACAGTAGCGGCAACGGTAACTACCAAAGCAGACTTGTTTAATCTATAATCAGAGTATTCCTTACAAAGTAGTCGGAGATTCTAATTTAGAATCAATAAAAATACTACGAACTTATAATTGACAAGCTAGAAACCTCAAGGTTATTGCTAACCTACACTCTTTTTACTTCATCGTTTAGCATTTTTGTCTGCATTTTTTTTTTTTTTTTTTTCATTCGCGATGATAGTGTCTTCTAATTAATTTTTATAAATCTATTAACCTTTTTTTCTTTCCACTGTCATGTTAACTACCTTGTCAACTACGATTTAAACTTAACATAGCCTCTCAAATTTATTTCCTCCCCAATTTCACATAATGACAACTGATTTTAGTAATTTTACTGATTATCTATCTCTATTTCTTTCACAATTTCCTCATAAATAATTTTTGACATATAATTTACATTTTTTTTGCAAAAACGTCAAAGTTTAGTCTACTGACACCATATTGTATTGGGCGCATGCGCACACGAAAACAAAGACAGAAATACATATGCACCGCGATATAGTAGTATTAAATATATGACGTACACTATTTAAAAAACGTCAAGTATAGTGGCTAACAACGTTTCTAATAGGAATGTTCTTATACTTTTTCTTATGTTTCTGCTTGCATTTTTGGCACGTTTAAACGTACCTGGGACATGCCGGAGCTATTTCTTGAATTACAATTATAAACTACTGGTAATTCGAACTTTCATGGGTGCACCGCGATACAGTATGTGTGGTATTTATAATTAATTATTTTTTCGCCGCACCTACCTATAAACTATTTAATAGTTAATAGATTAAATATCTTGTAACTTAACATTTAAATGAACATAACGCGTATATGTTTTTTTACGTCTTTCGAAACCGTAGAGAATTTTTCACTGTTTAGAACGTTTAATAATTTTTTGAAAGATAAGCCAAAATTGTTACGCACCACGAAAAATAAACGTGAAAAGCGACTCCCAAAAAACTGTTGTAGACTGAAGATGTCCAAATACATTTCAGAATGAGTCATTTTCATCTTCGCTGTTGGTTTTTACGCAAGATACTGTTAAGGTAATTGCTTTGCTTTGGAACATAACGTGTAACAGATCGCTAAACGCTGCTAAGCTATCCCAGCAACGTGATTAAACCTAGCGGCCATTTCTCCGTTACAATAACGTCCTTGCAATGAATACAGGAATTTTATGTTCTGGAACGAGTATTCTCAGCTTGTTAGTTCACTAGAGCAACGCATGGGGCCTTAATTATAGTT